GCTGGGACAGAGCAGCAGGAACTCACCCCATTGTGCAGATTCAAACCAGCAACCTTTTGATCAACCAGTTCAGCAGCTCAGCAGTTTAAACCACTGCGCCACCTGCACAAATGCACATGACTGCACCTGTGCAAATTCTGAGTCTGCAATTTGATGGACGGCAAAGGGAAGTTACCCAAAGATGGCAAATCATTGGCAGAGTGGCTTTCTCACTGTTTGAACATCTGTAGACAAGATATGTCCCTTCTTGGATGCACATCTGAACATGGTGAAGGGGTTTGAGAGTGTCAGGGAATCTGAGAGAGATGGTGCCTGGAGGGCAGACTCTCTCATTAGGTTGCTCTCCAGAAAGGTAACCCAAGCTAGAATAGTCGAGACCATATATGATACATCCACCTTCTTCAGGAGTAACAGTCACATCAGCAGAAGAGGATGGATATCTTAATAGTGATTGGACAGAGCAATTCCTGAAGGGAAGCACCTAGGCACGAGCAGTCATTCAAGGTGACTTTGGCAGAGGATCTTTCACAGATCTTTCTTCTTTGGCAGTGATGCTCAAACTAATTCTGGTAGTACTGTGTAGAAGAAGGCAGTGGTAAACCACTTCTGAATATCTCTTACCCTGACACACCATAATGGAACAGTCAAAAATGAAACAAGAGATGGTGCCAGAAGATGAAATTCCCAGGTTGGAAGGCACTCAACCAGCTGTTATGGGAGAACAAAGGACAAGTACAAATAGTTCTGTCATTACTGACACAATTAGATCAAAGCCAAAAGGAAGAGGCTGAGATGCACAGAGGGGAAAGGAAACTCCAGTGCTGCACAACACATATCATAGGAACATGGAATATGAGGAATATGGTTTTCCAAGACAAACTGGGAACCATAAAGCAGAGGGTCCTGTGTGGACTATTGGGTACAGTTTACAAATCCAATAAATAAATAAATAAGCAAGAAAAGGAACAGCTAGTCATCACAGTATTGGGTCTGAGTGAACTGAGGAGGGATGGAATAGAATGTGACATTTTTTATCAGACAAACACAAAGCATTTGATCTTGGAAATGACAATTGCAAGGAAAAGGAGTAACTATAATACTGAGGCAAGATATAGCAGTAAGGGGCTATAATGCAAAGTCCAACTGAATAATATAAATCAAAATCTCAGAAAACCTGTCAACATTACCATAATTCGTTCTGTAGGGGATGGGATAGAAAAGCCTTTAATAAATAAATATAATAAAATTCAACTCTATTGTACAAAAATAGATGCTGAAGAAGAAATTGAAAACTTGTATGCCAGCATCCAAGAGGAAACTGATAACCCACTAAAATAAGATGCTGATAACCACAGGTGACTGGCATGCAAAAGCAGGACACAAAGTAAAGTCTACTCTAATGGGGTGGAGATCAGAAACATCGTAGAAGAATGATTCATAGAAATCTGTGAAGCCAACAAGCTGTTTATTGCAAATACATATTTCAGCCAACTGATCAGATGAGTTTAGATATGACTTTAGACATGGACATCCCAGATGGCCAACACAGAAATCAAACAGACTATGTAATTGGTAGTAAGAGATGAAGAAACTCTGTTCTTGATGCCAACACCAGAACAGCAGCATATTGTGGGAGTGACCATGCACTATTAATATCAAAAATCAGAGCGAAGCTGAAAAAAATCACTGACGGAAGCATAGTGCCAAATACAACTTCAAGAATATTCCTGAGAAATTTAAATTGCACATTTAAAAACGTCTTTTTCTGCATTACTAAGCTCAGTTGACTGTGAACCAGAAGAATTGAGGTCTGAACCAGAGACATTATTATGGAAGAATGGGGGTGGGGAGAATTCCTGTAGTAAAAATGGGGAAATCCTAGATGGATGACAGAAGAAACACAATTCCTAAAGACAGGCAAGAAGCAAAAGCAAAAGGTGAGAGAAATAGGGTGAGAATCATCAATGAAACATTTCAGTAATTATAACATAGAAACAAAAAGAACTAATATCATGTCCAGGGCAAAGAAATAGAAGAATAAAACAAAAGACCTCTTCCAGAAGACCCAAGAAATCAAAGTGAGATTCAAAGTGAGATTAGAAATGCTGAAAGACTCAATGAGGAACATGGTATCTGACTTGGATAAAATAAAGAGAAGGTGGAAAGGCTATAAGGAAGAACTATACAGAAGAGATAAAAAGATGCCAAACTCCTTTGAAGAGGAACCCTGTGAGGAACAGCCTGTAATACTAGAAAGTGAAGTGAAAGCTGATCTGAAAGCACATGGAAGAAATAAAGCACCCGGAGTCGATAGTCTACCAACAGACCAAATCCAAGCTGCAGAAACTGATTTTTTTTCAAATTCTAATAAGAATATGCCAACAAATATGGAAAAGAAGCAATATACACTCCAGTCCCCAAGAAAGGAGATTCTAAGGAATGCAGCAACTAGGAGATCACTTCACTAAACGCTGATACAAACACAGTGATGCTCAGGGTGTTGCAACAAAGAATTTTATCCTGTCTGGAGCAAGAAAAGCCTAATCTTCAAGCTTGATTTCAAAAAGGATGAGGCACTCAAGATCATATTGCAAATGTGGATACATGGAATCTTTATTTGGGTTGGCCACAGGTCTTAACATATAGAATGAAAATATACAAAAAAAAAAGCACATAACATGTACTGAATTAAAATTGTTTGAAGTACATTCTATCATTTATATTAAATGCCAGTATCAAAAAGAACACATAATCCATTATATATATCCTCTCAAAACATATAAAAGTTATATCTCGAATAATAGACAATATTATTTATCTGAATTTTATTTTAACGTCAGCTATAGGTTGGCTACTGGAACACACCAAAACATTTCAGAAGAAGGCTGGTTTATGCCTTTGACTGTGTGCATCATGAGAAGCTCTGGAAGCTCTGGAAAGAAATGTGAGTGCACCACTGTTAGGACAGAACATGGGGAAACAGAATGGTTTCCTGTAGGCAAAAGCATCAGACAAGGGTGTATTTTATCTCCCCATCTGTTCAATTTGTATGCAGAGCATATCATAAGGAAAGCTGGATTAGGATCAGAGGAAGAAGGCATGAAAATTGGTAGATGATGCATCTGTAATTTAAGATATGCAGATGACACCATATTACTGGTGGAAAGGAACAATGAATTGAAACAAATCTTGATGAAAACAAAAGAAAGAAGTGGAAAAGCAGGACAGTAGATGAACATTAAGAAAATAAAAATCATGGCTCCAAAATAATTACACAACTTTATTGTCAACAATGAAGCAACTGAATTTGTGAAAGATTTTGCATCCCTTGGCTCAGTGATCGATTCAAAGGGAGATTGCAGTCAAGAAGTTCAAAGCTGTTTGAGACTTGGAAAGCCAGCAGTGAAGGAAGAGCATCAAGTGTAAGGAGTTTCACTGGAGACCAAGGCCAGGATCAGAAGCACTGTTGTATTTCTAAACACTGTGTGAAATCTTGACAGTTAAGAAAGAAAACAGACAGGAAGAAAAGTGGTACATTCAAAACATGGTACTGGAGGGGAGCTTTGTGCATACACTGGCCCAACAGAAAGACAAACAAGTGGGCTATAGATCAGATCAAGCCGGAACTTTCCCTAGAAGCAAAAATGATGAAGTATGAAGCTGTCATACTTGGGACACATCCTGAGAAGGCAAGAACCACTGAAGGAGACAATAATCCAAGGGACGGTCAAAGGCAGAAGAAGAAGAAAAGGAAGACCAAATATGAGAAGAATTAAGGTTGCAAGAGCTGATCAGGCCTGTAAAAGACTGGACATTGTAGAGGGCATTCATCAGAGGTTTTGAGATGACTTGACAACAAATAACAACAACAAAGGCACAAGATATGAATGTGAACTGAAGTACAGTTTGCCACATAAGAGCAGACTGGACCAGAACAGCCAATCACATAAGTAATTTTCCCTCCTTCCTTTCCTAATGCTCTTCAAGCATCTATGCTGGCAGCTAATAATCACCCAGCAGTTTAGATGCTAAACGCAGCACCAAACAGGTCGCATCCATTCTGTTGTGCCTGACGCCTCAACAGAGGCGGCACCTCACGAGGAAGAGTCAAACACCCAAAGAGAGAATCAGACATCAGAACAAGAGGTCTTACACTTGAGGCCCTGTGGCCAAGTGACCCTTCCACAACCTGGCTTGGGAGTAGCTGAACAGGTAGCTATCCCTCATCCTGACCCTTTACCCCTTGGGCAAACAGCCAAGCCTCTGCCCTACCACGAGGGCCCCGAGGGAAAAGACACTACACATTCTGCCCCTGAAGAGCGTGGGCAGGATGCCCCCTTCCTCCTGACGCTGAGTCTCCTGAACAAGATACAGAAGATGCAGGAGGCGGGATAGATTTGTCTTGCGCGACTCTTAGACGTAGCTTACGCCGATTGGAACAAAAGGAAGCTTTGTCCCACCTCAGGGGGGAAAAATGGGACAAAGAAAGCTAAGCCCATGTGGGTTCCCTGAGGGATGTCACTAAGAAGATAGCAAGCTGTTGTGAGGTGTCAGCTCACCTCACAGTTGTAAATGACCCACACTTATGCAGGAAATAAAACTAAAGTCTTTTATTGCTACTTTTCTACAAGATTTACGATGCTACGAATAAGTTCTACTGCAATGACCTTTACAAGTTAGTTGCTGTCTTCTTAGTGACGTCCCTCTTTAACTCGTAATCCAGTCCTAGGAAACTGTAATCAACCCTAGGATAACTGATAAAAAGATTTCCCGAGGAGATGAGTTATTACTGAATAGAGATGAAAGCTTATCATAATGTTGTTTTCGTCTCCACACTGAAACATGTTATTTTAACAATTGTTTCAGCTCAGCAACTCTGCTTGATGTGCAACGTCTCAATCAGGAGCTGCTTTTATTACAAAGTGAACCCAGTAAATTGGCAAGTTATATGACATGAGTCAAAGGTATACATTCTCAAAATAAACATCAAAGAAGCTTACGTTGAAAGCAGTAGGCATCAAATCTGCTGTCTGGATAAGGAAAGCCTGTTTGATTCTCATAGCGATATAGTGTGCGCACTCCAAGTAAACCTCCGCCACACTGGATTCTTGCCACAGACACTGGATAACGCACACTGCCATCAGCCAGCCAGCCATAGTCACACTGGTCAAAGCCATTCCTCCAGGCGGCATGCAGGTCACCAACAGACGCAAGAACCGCATCTTGTGCCTCACATTGACTTTTGGCTTCTTCGAAGGTTAGCTTATTCGGAGCAGTTATGTGGAAGACATCACCTGTACAAATAAGGAACAAATGGCACCTTTACTCTTTGCATAAAGATCAAACCAAGTGACAGTAACATGTAGCTTAAATGGCTTGAATTTTTTAAAAGGTTTCCAGCATTATTATTTTAATGACTTGATTTGCTAACCTTCACATTACCTATCATGATTGTTCAGTTTTGATGTGAACAGTCTTGAGCATAATTTTTGAAAAGGTGGTGTATAAATAAAAATTGGCATTTATTTACTGTTGAAAACTACCCAGTTTGCTTGGGATACTGGGGGATTTAGAAATTTATCATCATCATTGATTATTATTTTTTATTATTAGGACCTTTTATTCTTTTCTTATGATTCATTCCCGCACATAATATTTGGTCAACGCTGGCTCCAGGTTTCTGAGGGCCCTTGGACAAGAAACTAATGGCCCCTTCCCTGAGTGAGTCTACCTTCTTAATCTCCTTAGCACCAGTGGCTCCTGCTCTTCATCTTCTTTTTCATCATTGCTACTATTTCCTTGCTCGAGAGACAGAGGGACAGGGAATGAGTAAGCAATGGCATTGACTGCTTCTTTTTCTTGTTACTTCTATTTTCTGGGCAAGAGTGATTGGCCACTGAATAAGCAGTTTGCAATTAAGAAGAGGAGGAACATGTCTCGGAACTCTTGTCAATGGGCCCTTGCTGGAGTATGGGCCATCAGGCAGATCTAAGACACATCCATCCTTGACATCATTCTATCATCCTTGGTCCCCTGAAATTGCCCTTTCCTCCTGGCTTCTTTATTAGAACTTAGTTCTTGAAGGCACATGTCATACCCCTTCTCTCCTCCACATTCATATTAACTGTGTTAAGTCTCCAAATACAAATACTGCTGTATGAAATAGTAAAATAATCCACTTGTGGGATGCTCTTGAACTATTTCGGTGAGCCTACAATGTAGTTTCCATCTCTGACAGTGAATTGACCAGAGTTCTCTAACAGAAGGGCAAAACAAACATTGTGTTTAGTAGTCACAATGCAGGGGCCCAATTCAGATCTTAAAAAGCTGCACCACCACCATATACCTACTAGAGTTCCAATCCAAAGCAGAGGCCCTGCACTGACCCTAGAGTAAAATAGAAGAGGACGGAGCTGTCAGATACAGGTTAAAAACTTCTAGTGGCTATGTTTTGGCCCAGAGAACCTTTGCATAGAGGGCAGAAAACTGGGAGCTTGCAAAGTACACAGTACCCACTCTGTCCTCTCCATCATGACAATGGGTGTTTTACTAATATGAGAGACTAGCAAATGCCAAAGATAGGAACACTTTGTTTTAATGGCAGAGTCAAAGACTTGCTAATTTCAAAGGGCATCATTAGAGGAGGCTAAATTAGACTTTGTGAACCATGAAGCTAGAAATTTCCAGCTTCCCTCCCAGAACACCTGACTAATCAGGGAACATATTTTGTGCCTCCGATAACAGATGACCAAATCACAGCAGAACTTTCAAAAAGACCAATGTAAATGCCAAGAAAGCCAACACAATATTTATATTGTTATTCCATCAAGTATTTTGTAAAGATATGTGCAAATATGAAAATAAAATATGCTAATATGCCCAGTTACTGACATTCAAGGCAAGCCATTACACAACACCATCTCCAAATATCTACTTTAAATAACAGCCACTAAGCCAATAAGCACAGCAAACAAATTCCAGTTGATGTGCTTTGTCACAAACAGGCAATAAGTCTACAAATACGCCATCTGTGTCAATATTAATCTGAGCTGCTTCTCAAGTGCTGTAAGAACTGCTGTAATATGTTAATAAAACAGATGATAAATAAGAATGAAGGATTGTTTGAGTATGAAAATGTTCAAACACTGTCTTAAATTTTGCAGAAATTACAATGGAAAATAGGTTTGTTCTGTTGCTTCAGGGAATACATATGAAAATGTTTTTCAGGCCAATTTGGCAGGTAATAAAAATGTTTGATCTTATTTTGACTAACAGTGGAATAGAGGTTTGGCTCTGGAGATCTTCCATGCTTATGAAATAATGTTTTCACTATAGCTAAGGGAATAAACCAAAGACAATAAGAGATGCCTGTAGCTGCAATCTCAAATATAATTATATAGAAGTACATCTCAATGAAATTCATGAGGGCATCTTCTGAAGAAACACATTTGGAATGGGAGTATAAATACTACAGTAATTCCCTGGACACACATGCTTAACTATGTGTTTAAGAAAATAATACCTCCAGTATTAAGTTACAGCAACCTTTTCCACAACTGCATAGACATCTGTGTGTTCCCATCATAGAGAAAACCATGGTCAACTAGGTTTCATGAAGTTAGCATCAAGTTGCTAGTGGAATTATGACTAGAAGGTAACATGCAGGGCTTGTGTCAAAGACCGGCCTAGTAGAACCCCTGCCAAGTGGCCTACAGACAAGACCTGCCTGGAATTGCTCTACCTCTCTATGGTTTCAATTCACTGGTCTCTCCCCGTGGCCCAGACATTTAATCATGGGGGTGAGAAGGAGAAGTAGCAGATGCCTCTGCCAGCCAAATAGCTCCCTGGCTGTCTCATTGCATACTTTGAACCAAGTATGCAATGGCAGCAATAACAAGCAATGTGATGAAGAACAATTGCAGCTGGTGACAATGCCAGTGAGAAGGTAGACTCAGAGAGGAGCTTGTTGAAAGTATCTTGCCCAAATACCCCGAAAAACTTGACACCAGCACCAGTAATACAAACTTGTTTTCTGTTCATGACATAGCTAAAAAGCTTACCACTTTGTCACAAGTTGCATGCTATTAACAAACGACAGCAGGGGTAAGAGGGATTTGTGTTGTGTGAATCCACCTGAAATTATTTTCATCTAGCTAAAACTTCTGACACATATTCAAACACAGCCAAGAGGCAGGCATAGTGACCTACCAGGAGCTCTGTCAGTCTCCCAGATACTCTAAGTTCATTTCTATCTGATCTTCCTTCCATCATGGAACTCAAGATAGTATACATGGGCTTTGAGGCCATCTCCCATCCACACACTGGTCAGATCCAAATCTGTTTAGCCTTCAACCAGGGAGCTGTATCATGTGCCCTCATACTATGCCCTAGGATCTAATAAGTCCTTAAGAGTTTGCTGTCTTCCAGAAATGAGAGAAACACAAGACTACACAAGTCATCTAGCATTTAGTTGCTGTGTTGCTAAATGTGTCACAGAGTTTACAGGTCTGAATTAAGGCATGGTCCACACAGAGAACAAATTAACAAATCTGTACTAAAAGGAAGGCCCATTGACTTCAGTAGGGCATAGTTCTAGCACCTGTCTATGGGATTGCAGCCTACATGGACCACAACTGACTGCAGCTGAGGTTAGCAGGGCTGCATATTCTCCACAGAAGAAAAAAAATCCTTGTGCATAGAAAATCTGATATCAGGGAGAAGGATTCTAAATAAGCCCAATAAACTTGTTTTCTTTATGCAGTGAGTTCTTTCATTTATATATTATTTTTATTATTGCATGTATGCTCCAACTATTCTGTCTTTCAAGGAAGTCAAGATGGCTCCTCCTCTCCATTTTTTCTCTGCAACAACCTGTGAGGTGGGTTAGGCTGAGCCAGTGACAGGCCTAAGTTGCCAAGTGATATTCATGGCTGCGTGGGACTAGAACTCTGACCTCCAGAATGACTGCAGCTCTAACAACTAGACCACGCTAGCTCTCATGATCTTTCATGTTTAAGAATAAAGCTATGAGGCCAGAAATTGAAGTAGCACAGCCCAAAACAGGCTTATAACAGCATGTACTGCCTGATTATGTAATCTCCCACTAGCAATCTGAGGTGAGGGTTTTGGTCTGGGCCTCAGGAGATCCATCCATACTTGACCATGAAGCTTACTTGGGAACTGATTCTCAGTCTAATCTAGACCACAGCATTGTATGAGTATAAAAAGGAGAGAAGGAAGGTCATGCAAGCCTCCTTGCCTTCCTTGCAGGAGGAGGAAAAGGTAACATGTAAAGGTAATAATAAAGCAGTTAAAAATAATCAAAATACCACCACCGGCAAAATGGTGTAATCAAGAAACAGAGTTACAACTTCATATCCCATTTGCTTCCTGGTAATGAAGAGCTAAGAATATGAAAATTGGGAGAATTTCAGTACTGTGTTTGTTTACTAATAGAAAGCAGTGCGTGGGCCTCCATATCCTAAAATGTGTTTTGATTCTGTATGCTGAATCCCAGGTTCCAAGGCTTCAACTCACTCAGTTTTTAATCCCGACTTCCCCAGATGTAGCCAAATCAGGGCGGTGTTTATGTCAGTGTCATGCACTGTAGAGCAAGAACAGGGAAAGATTGTTTGGAGCAACTTCAGAGCAATTACCCCAACAAGATTTTAAGAGCTGTTAGCAAAATCAATAAAAGTATTAAAATATAATCTCCAAGATCAGTGCTTATTCTGGCCATGGAATATCACCGGCACTTGATGTTTAAATGGGGGGCTTAGACCCATCATATAGTCTGAGGTGCTGAATTATCTATCTGCAAGAGCCAAGGGTTCCAAACAAAAACAGCTTTGATATATTTTTTCCACATGTTCCAGAAAGACACAGAGTATCTCCATCTGGCAAGCCAGTGAGTGACGTACCCTTGAACATGAGAGCGATGCAGAAATGTTTAGAAAGAAGCGTGGGGAGGGGAATCGAGTGTTAAAACTCATCTGCAATGTTTTGATAGGTGGAATCCACACCGAGAGTACCTCAGCAGACTGATCAAGGCAAGCTCCCAGGCCAGGAGTAAGAGAGGAAAGGAGCTTAGCTCTGGCCATACACTGCAATAACAGGGCTGACATGGAAACCATGACAATCTTTGGATTACAGACAGCAATGCAATTTGTATTGGTTTTGGCCCCAGTTTTGGGTGATTGTTTCTGCCCAAAAAGAATCTCCAGATTTTCCTCTTGTGTGTATTTGCATGGCTCAGTTTTAAAAGCACCTGCCTAAGCTTCTTTTTATTGCAGTT